TYCCCAGATCTGGACCCGGCTCTGCACATGGGGTCTCACCTCAATGGGGCAGAGGRGCAGAATCCCCCCTTCCCTGCTGCCCACACTGGAGATCACCCCAGGATCTGGTTGGTTTCTGGATTTCCTCCTGCTATGGAGCCTTCCTGGTGTCTTTGTGACCACAACATGAGCAAAAACAGGGAAAAATCCTGTCTTGTTGGGATGTTTGGAAGCTCRTTCCTTTATTGGACAAGAAACTGGATTTCACCCTTGAAATGTAATGTGAAATGCACCTTTTGGTTCCAGCAGTGTGTGATGGGATGGCCTGGCCGTGCTCTCTCTGCYTTGCTGGCAGCTCTTACCCACACTCGTGCCTCCAGCACAGCAATTTCACCCTGTGGTCAGTCAAAAAAATGCTCTCTCTTTTGGGGAAATTGGTCTAAATTACCAGCCACGTCCAGATCCAGCAAAGACCGGTATAATTAAGTGGCTGGAAAATGGAAAGTGAGGAACAATTAGGGTTTGCTTGGCCTTTTCCCTTCTTTAATTTAAACTTTCARTTTTTGACAGATGGTGGTTTAGATAGCACACCCCAGTCTAAGGGGTAGAATCAGACTCTGAGACAATTTATACTTCCAACATGGGCAGAGATTGAAAGAAAACCCCAAAATCTTTTAAAATCCAGGGTTCTGAGAAGGAAAATTTGCTTCTTACTATCTTTGGGCATCTTGAGGTTCAGTGAATTTAAGATTGCAYCCAGATTCAGGTCACAGATCTGGAGCTGAGGTTCTCCAGAGCACTGAGGGGTTTTAGGGGATCTTCTCAAAGCTGTTCCTAATAGTCCTGGGTTCCTGAAAGCCTTGATCTTAAGAGAAAAAGTCACCAAACTGCAACATCCAGAGCCACCTCTGTAAATAAATTCTCTGGGGATCAGTGGAGTTTGGTGGATGAAGCAACAGAAAGTTGACAAACCAACATTATCTGAAGCAAAAGTCGCAAAGAAATCTTTGAAACCGTTATTCATTGTTGTGTTTTTCAAAAACAAAGCGYCTGCACAGGAACATTTTCACAAGTGTTGGCCACGAGTGATGTCCCAGCCAATGTTGTGAATATTCCTGCTGGGACTCACAGGCAAAATTCCAACTGGGCAGCAGAAACAAAGCCACGTGTCATGAGTCACTTCCAGCAATCTGGGCCAAATAATAAAGAGTTTTSGTGCCAGTGAGGGGAAGGGAAGGATCACTGGGAAGGTTGGTTTTGGGGTCTGGTGAAGAGCACCTGGATTAATTCTCCAGCCCTGAATTCAGCTGCCCTGGCAGGGACATGCCCATCCTATCAACATCCAGAAAATCACAGAATACTCTGAGTTGGAAGGGACCCACAAGAATCWCTRAGTCCAACTCCTGGCCATGCACAGRRCAAAYCCAAAATCACTCTCCGTGCCTGAGAGAGTTTTTCAAACATTTCTTGAGCTCTGTCAGGCTTGATGCATCCAAGCTTTCTCCTGGGAATTATCCCCAGGCTGTGCTGATTCCTGAGCTGGGTTGGGAGCTGCCTGGGGCAGGCCCAGGATAAAATTGTGCCAAAGATCGTGATAGCAACAAGACATTACAAAAGATGAATTGCAGCCCTCTTTCCCTGTGGATTTTCCTGGTATATATGCCTAGAAAAATGAAGTGGTTTTGTCCCCTCTTTGTCTGTGACACCTCCAGCACAGAACAAACAAAAAATTAACAGATGTGTGAGACAGGGTGGGAGGATGGCTGAAAGGTTTGAATTCAAAGGCAAGAGGATGGACCTGAAAGAGCCAGGTGTGGAGAACACAGTGGCTGATGGAAAACACTGTGACTGATGGAAAACACAATGACTGATGGAAAACATAGTGACTTATGAAAAACACAATGACTGACAGAAAACACTGTGACTGATGGAAAAAAAAATCTGTGACTGATGGAAAAAAAATCTGCTACTGATGGAAAACACAGTGACTGACAGAAAACACTGTGACTTATGGAAAACACTGTGACTGGTGAAAAACACTGTGACTGATGGAAAAAAAAATCTGTGACTGATGGAAAACACAATGACTGATGGTTGCCTTTCCACCTGGGGCTAAAGGCAGGTAGGAACAAGGAGTTTCTCTGCTTTTTTACTTTTATCCCTCTTGCAAATCTGTGCTGACAGGGACAGGCAATCACTTACCAGCTCCTTCCTGAGCCACGTCAAAGCCTCGTCGATGCTCTCAAAGCCACCTATTCTCCCTGAGGTGACAGTCCCCTTGTCCTGGGCAGGGTTTCCATTGAGGTGCAGCTGCACCTTCCTCATGGGGACAGCCTCCCCCGGGCTCTTTTTGTCCTTGGTGGCCTCCTCCTCCCCCTCTCCCTCGGGCTGGGGGCTCTTCCAAGCCTGCTCCTCCAGCTTTGCCTTCCATTCCAAGTAGGAAGGRCGCCTGGTCTCCAGCCTCAGCTTCTCTGTCAGTGCCTTGAGGGTCCTCAGGTGGTCATCTGGAGGGGGGACCCCCCCAGAGCCAGCATCCATGCTGTCCAGCGCCTCTTCTATTTGGATTTTGGGGACAGACATCCTCTCTGGGAGTCCAAAGGCATAGGGGAGGGCTGGAAAGGACTGAGGATGGAGATGAGAAGCCTCAAGGTTTGAYCAGGTGTGCCCAGCACAGCTCCTTGGAGGACTGCTGAAATGTGGGSTCTGCTCAAGCACCACTCCAGCCTTGGGTGAACACCTGGAAGAAAAAAAAAAGGGATTAGTTTCCATTTTGAAAAGGAAAAGGGAGTGAGGAAAGAGAGACAGCTCTTGCTGGAGCAGGGAGTGAGGGTTTTGAAGAGGCTCAGTGCCAAGGTGCTGCTGGGGACTGTGAGCTCACCTCAGTTATCTGAGCACTTTGGGGCAGGAACAGCCARGCTCTGGCTTTTACCAAAGCTCTGGTTACCTACACCTCCAACCTTAACTCAAGGGGCTGTGGAAGGGTGGCCAAGGAGTCCAGGACATGTTCCCAGACCCCAAAACCCTCTGGAGACAGCAGTGGCTGCTGCTGGTTTGGGTTGGTTTGGGCTGTCTGGTTTTGCTGATTTTTCTGCCTGGCAAACCCACATTTCCCCACTGAGGCMAATCAGGTCCAGATGAAATAAGAAAACCTGAAGGAGGAGAGGTTTAGATTAGATATTAGGGAGAAATTATTCCCTGTGAGGGTGGRGAGGCTCTGGCACAGGGTGCCCAGAGAAGCTGTGGCTGCTCCTGAATCCCTGRMAGTGTCCAAGGCCAGGCTGGACAGGGCTTGGAGCAACCTGGGATAGTGGAAGGTGTCCCTGCCCATGGCAGGGYGATGGAGGTGATCTTTAAGSTCTCTTYCAACCCAAACCATTCTGAGAACCCAAAACTTCTCCCAAGAGTCTGAGTCAAAAGGAGAACTAGAAAAAGGGATTTATTTTTCCCCCCGCCACATCCCTGTCCAGCTTTACAGAGCTGGGTTTAGGTCTGGGTTTGCTAAAGATGCAGTCTTAGGGTTCATCTCCCTCCTGAGCCGATCAGGAACACGGTCCCAGCCATGGGGGACTGTTTGGGATGCTGGCATGGTTTGGGTTCAGCCCTCAGGGAGRCTTGGACTTGGGGKTCCCATCCCACATCCAGTTTATCCYGGGRRWAYRGTCCCTTTTAACACCCCTTGGGAGCAGCAGCACAGAGAAACCAGGAGCTTCCTCCCCWCTCCTCCTCCTCCTGCCAGCACTCRTGGAAAAGTGTGCTCAGACAAACCSTGGCACCTGGAAGTGCAGAGGACTCAAAAACTCCTCAAGAGTTAAGCTCAGGCAGCTTCTGCATTCATTCAATGGCAAGATCAGATAAAAGACATTCTCAAGGTCGTGTGCTCATCCACAGCTGAGCTAGGAATAGATCCAGAGCTCTCCTCCTGAAYGTCAGGCACCAAACAAAATACTCCTTTGCCTGCCTGGTGAGATGCCTGGAAAAGCAGGAAGGATCCGTGCAGCTTCCTAGAATTACTCAGCCCTTCTCCTCCCTGCCATCTCCACAGAGGCATGTGCAGCTCTGAAATCCAGACCATAATTACGCCTCTCCAGCCTTTTCAGCAAGAAGATTCAATTTAAAATAAACACCGAGAGAGGAGCAAGATTTATCCCAACAATTGTGTGGGGGCACATGAGCCGAACGAGGAGTTGATAATGTACACACAGACAGTGTGGGGGTGGAGAATTAGTCATGTTGTGGTCTCGTTCCTGCTCCTATTTATGTTAATGAGAGTTTTACGGCTCTCACAGACACTCTGGCAGGGTGAAGCCAACAGCTCTCGTGCCTGGAACAGCAACAATTTTCCTTCTTCTGTCGAAAAACAGAGGGGGAAGCAGCAGGCTGGCCTGGCAGAGGATTGCTCTGCAGGGTTTAGGGTGTATTGATGAATTTACCTTTCCTCCTGCTCCAGCCTCCCCAAATCAATAARGAAAAACAAATAATGACTTAAAACCCCTCATTTCTGAGCTCTTTTTCCCTGTTCCTTGAGACCTCTGTGGAGATTGTTGAGGATGGCCCAAACCCAGCAGTCCAACAGTTGGCTGCAATTCCACCCTGGGCTGCTGCATTTGCTAATTCCCAGCAAAGATCATATTTTTATCATTTTCTGGATGCCACAGCTACAAAACAGAGCCCCACACAAGCTCTTTTGTCCTGTGTCTTCRGCGTGTACGAAATCCTCGGGGTGGGAAAGGCCCCTGGTATTTGAGCCTCGGGCACAGCTCAGTTCACATTCAGAGCATTGGACCATGAAAACGGGACAGCAGCTCGGAGCATCCCCTTTGTCACTGCCCTGCTGTCATCTCCCCGTCCCTGTCACCACAACTCCCAGCAGCTTTGCAGGAGATTTGGGTTTTTTTACCCTAAAAGCAGCATTGGTTCCACCCATCCTTCMCTTTGTGGCAAAACATGAAACATCTCATTCCCTGTGTAGGGACACCCCTAAACAGGCAGCTCTTTTCCCAAACCTGTCCCAACTTTGGAGTGACAGAAAGAATTTTCTAATTTCTCAAATTTCCTGTCAATACCTTGGACTTGGATCAAAGGCCTGGAATGGAGAAAGAGATCTGAAAGTCACAAGCGTGTGAAAAATGCCCTTGTGCTGTAACACAAACCCTRAGAGTTACCAAATTCCCAGGAACAAACCTGGCTCAAATCCACATTCTC